AGGTAATGAAATGTTTGCAAGAAAAGAACCAAGCTCAGAGAACCCCAAGGACTCCACACTTGGGTTCATATAAAATCACTCTTGACAATTATTTGAATGTGAGCTTCACCGGTTCATGTCACAAAACCCATTACATCTTGGAAGTTCTGGCTTGATCAGTTGGACAATCATCAATAACTTTTAGCTTCCTGTCCTGCAGATAAAATCTAGACACCTAGACATAATTTTGCAATAAGTCTGAGGTAAAAAAGTAAGGATTTGCTCCAGGTGAACTCCTTCCTGAATATTTTTTTTGACTTCCCAGTTTAGTCTACAGCCCTGGAATTTGGTGATGATCTCACATCCAAGTAACTAATCAACCATGTTTAGCTTTTCCAAGATCAGCCTAGAGAAAGGAATACACATCTCTTCCTTAATAACTCACTCTATAGGTAGGTTCTCTGCTTATGTGAAAAGTATGTGCCTGTTCAGTCCCAGCAAATATTAACTAAACTTCAATGAAAATTACTGGGATGTCCAACCCTAATTTGCATACGTTGAATTAGACAAATAGAATCTGTTAAAAGGGATTCTATTGCTCATTGAATCAAGCTTTTATCCTCATACAAGGACACCAGATCCCGTTAAAATTCATTACTAGTTGAATTTTTTTCCTGATTTTGCATAATTTAACTCCCACTACAGTTTTGCATGAATTTCGGCTAGATAAGTGAGCATGGGGAAAATGCATGTACTCACCTTGATGTACTAATAATATTAATTCACTGAAGTAGTAATAGAGTCTCGGGAAAAAACAGCTGAGCTTCAGTATTAATCCTTCCAATGAGCAGTCAGGGTTGATTTCCTTTAGGATTGACTGCTTTGACCTTCTGGCAAACCAAAGGACTCCTGAGAGTCTTCTCCAGCACCACAATTCAGTGGCATCAGTTCTTTGGCACTCTGCCTTCCTTATGGTTCATACATTGCTACTGGAAAAACCATAGCTTTGATTATGCGGATCTTTGTCGGCAAGGTGATGTCTCTGCTCTTCAATGTGCTGTCTAGGTTTACCATAGCTTTCCTCCCAAAGAGCAAGTGTCTTAATTTCATGGCTGTAGTCTCCGTCTGTGGTGATCTTGGAGCCCAAATAAATGAAGTCTGTTACTGCTTCCATT